ACTTTCATGGTAAATGTTCAGATGAGCTCTTCACTATGATACCTAGACTTTATGAACTTAGCACAGTACTAAATTGGCAACAAGGTTTCATTATTTTACAGTTGAATTGGCTTGATGTAAGTTCTATGCTACCATTTTCTTTTCTCGCACTTCTAACTTGTGGAACCAATCTTCCAGCTGTATGCTTTCCAGCCAACTTTGATCTTCAAAAATTTAAATACAATGTCAATCGTTATCTACTGTCTTTTTGATCACTCTTCTATTGTCCTCGCTCCTTAATAACATTTCTGTTTTCTAATTCTTTCATACCCAGTAACCCCTTGTGTCTTTACTGCCTTGCTCGGGGTGGATTTGATTTTAAAAAAAAAGTAATGTTAGATTTGAAAGAGTAGATTGTACACCTTTCCTCTATCACTCCTATTTGCTCTAGCTCCAACTCTCTGTAACGCCTTGCATGCGAGTGGCTTCCCACCTTGCTTGGGGTGTAACGCTTAAAAAAAAAAAATTGAATACTTTACACCGAGATAATTCTGAGTGAATTAGAATTCCTAACAGGATTCATTACTAGCGGCCAACATTAGATACGTTGATGACATAGTGCTGTTAGCATATACAGAAAGGTAAATACAGTAAGTATTTTGCATCTTACATCCCCACCTACTTATACAAAATGGTTTGCTTTCCAACAATGAGACAAAAGTGCATATCTCACCATGGTTGATTTGTCAGGAAGGTGAATTCTTAATGTTATCAGACTGGGGAGGTAATCCCAGTGCAGCCTGAAAAACCACACTTACGTTTGAACCAAGCCTTGGAGTTGAATTTGGGTAGATAACTACTCAGGAGCCATCAATGAATGTGCTAGCACAAAGTCACAAGTCATCATGACTGAGGGTTTGAGCATACTGTCCTTGATTAGGCTGTTGATCATGCCAGATAATGCACTCTTTTCCAGAACAGTAACTAAGGTTTGATCAGTATAGTTGTAGTATAAACCAGAGGAGGGCTCTACAGGTGTTGAACAAACACTAATATGCCTGAGCAAGCATCTACAACAGGGATTGGCTAGCCACACTAGTGGACAGGCATGCTCGGATATGAGCAGTCAGCCATTACTCACATAAAAGAAACAGATGACAAGGAATGATAGAAAATATAGGTTTTTAAACAAAGATATTAGAAAGAAATACAAGTAAAAGGTGAACATCATAACAAGTGTGTAAAGACACTACACTACAGAAAGAAACTCTATAGACTTTAGTCATTGTTGATGTGCATAAAAAGTTAAATTAGTAGGATAGAAAGCAAGACAGGGAGGCATAAAATCTCAAAGGCAAACACTCATAATAGAAAAGTGAAATATACTACCAGTGATGGCCCTATGGTTGCTGGCACCCCAGGCAAGCTCAAGTTCAGCAAGCTTACAAGTATAATTTTTAAAAACTTTCACAAGGAGAATGTGTCTTGTTTGGTTTTCTAAGTAAAGTAAATGTAAACTCCAACTCCGACAATTTGCACATCGAAAGCACTTCTTTGATTGAGTATATTCCTTGATTGAGAAAATGCTGGTGTTATATAGCTCTCCCAGTCCCAGACTTATGCTGAATATTGGCTAATACCTGCCCAGTAATGTTTGTATGCAAATTTTGTCCTTTTTCAACAGTCAATTGTGAAGTGGGGTATTGTGAGACCGGAACTACCTACACAATAGACTCTTCCAGGTCTATATTAAGTATGCGACACAACACTCTACAGAGACACAGTGAGAGTCTAGTACAACTACCAGTATTGGACACTAACATATAGTAAGCTCCACTTACACTATCTCTGTAACCTGTTGTTAATATATCTTTCTTACACCTAATCCGTGTTCCGTGTTTTCCTTCTGTGGTCCCAACTTTGGCCCCACATCAGGGACATAACTCCTGATGCTTGCAGCACCACATGCAACCAACTCTGGGTCTCTTGTCACTTTAACCTGATTCTCAATTACAGAGAAAAGTGAAAATGTAGAATAATGAGTTTATTACAATATACAACTTAATACAAGCTAAAGAAAACATTCATTTCCCGACCTAAAACATTATTTTCTATCCTTTAGATCTACAAATCTTTCCATAGTGGTTTCTACACCTATTTTCTTTACAAGATCATTTTCTATTGACAAAATAGCCAAAGAACTTAAGCTGTCTTAATATGTTTTTATATGCTTTAGTTTTGAAAGATCCTAATCATAGCAGCAGTAGACTGAGCCAGTCCTACGTACTATAAAGATGAAATGAATACATCAGAGATCTTTTCCATTAAACTAGAGGAGTGAAACCTACAATATATAACATCATGGAAAGATCTGTAGCATTAAAATTTGAAATAAACTCACCGCTGGTCAAGATTTTTAGAAACCAAGCCACAAAACCAGATGGGATTTTAATAGAAATGCTGTTTTCCTTAAATGATTTCAGCATTAAAGGAAATATAAGACAGTGGTGGAAAAAAAAAATCACAGTAGATCTATCTTCATAATGATATCAAAATAGCCAGGCACAAATTAATATGAGCTCCATTGGACTGTCAGATAGATGAAGTATATTACTAATCTTATTAGGATACTTATGAATTAGAGCTTAGAGCAGAATTAGACCAAATAAGCAAGAACAGTGAGGCTTTGTTCAAAACTCCAGAACAAGAAATGCTAACATTACGATCAGAATGCTATCAAATCAAACATTACAACTCCAGAAAGACCAATACCTGTGTTTCATAAATTCCACCAAGGTGTCCAATAAGGTGTGACACAAATATCTACTTTGAATAGTTTGGTTTACATGGGGAAAATATTTGAGTAAGCCGTAACCTTAACTGGGAACAAACAACTTGGATGTTGTGAATGGTTTTAGCAAATAGGCAAAAATAAAAAGATAAGGATGCATTTTCTCACCAGTTTCATTTAACCTGCATAGCATGATGGTCCAAATAGAACTAGAAGTTCTACCAGGATTTATTGTTAGTGGACATAATCTTAATACCATAAGATATGTGGATGATCCTGTGTTTATGCCAGATTCAAAACAAAAAAGTGAAAGAACTTTAAGGAAAGCAAGAAGAAAGGACTAACTATTAACTGTAAAAAATAGAATGCATGGTTGTAAACAAAAGAGACAGCCCAAAGTGTGTCCTGTGTATTAGAAACATCAAAATTCGAGGAAATACAGAAATTTAACTATCTGCCTAATCCAGGGAAAAAATACAAAACATATGACATAGAAATCTGAAAATGTGTGTGCATATATATATATATATATATATATATATATATATATATATATATATATATATATATATATAATATATATATATATATAATATATAATATATATATATATATAAAATACTAAATCAAAGTGGACAGGAAAATAACATGTCTTCCAACTGCTGACTGTTGGATTTCCCATTGCTTTTATTAGCATGGGGCATCTTACATTATATTTTATTAGCATGATCTAGATCTTGACCAGTTGCAAAGAGGCCCATATCTAGACATGCCAAGCTGTCCCACTGCTAACAGGGAAAACCCAGATGTAACTGGTGTTGACAAATATGTCCACATGCAATCTGGGATCTCTTTTACATCTGTACTAATGCACAATTGCCACGGCTTACAATGGCCGAAACATTGTGAAGACAATAGTCTGAATGTAAATAGTGTAAATATTGATGCCTTCTCATCTCAGAAATTTGAATGGAAAATCTTATATTGATTTTGCAAAAAGGATTATGAGAATAAATTTCAATGCTGATTATATTTTATCCATGACTTGAAATAATTTGTTTTCATTAAATTCAAGCATTCTACGAGGCTGACATCCCGCTCTCACCCTTTCACTGTTGAAACTCCTAAATATAGCCATCTCTTCTACTCCAATAGCTTCATATATTGCACCTCTCACCTGTGGAACTCCCCTTTTCCTGTTTCCCTGATAGCTATAATCTCCAACTATTCAAATGTAATGTCAATTGACATCTCCAGTTGCCTTGATCTATCCACTATCCGTCTCCTCATCCTTTCCTCTATCACTTCTATCTGCTCTCGCTCCAAATCTTCTGTAACCCCTTGCATACTAGTGGCTTCCCATCTTCCTTGGGTGAATCGTTTAAAAAAAAAAAAGTTTATCATTTAAAAAACTTTACAATAATTTAAATAACTCTCATATATTTTTCCAATTTTCTTCATCAGAAAAAATTATTTATATCAGCTATCAATATTTGAAATCCATGCATTGAATATTGCATGTGGTCTGGTGTTTCTGCTATGAAATACAAAAACGAATCAGGAATATTATTGGTCCTGACCTAGCATCTCGGCTTCACTCACTTTCTCTCCACTGTAACGTAGCTTTCTTGTGCCTTTTCTATAAATATTTTCATGGTAATTGTTCAGATGAACTTTCCTCTTTGGTAACTAGACTTTATAAATTTAAGCACTGTACTGGATTGGTAGCTAGGTCTCATTATTCTACCATCAAAATGGATAGATGTAACTGTAAGTTCTAAGCTAACTTCTCTAACACTTCTCACTTGTGGAACTTTCTTCTGAATTCTTGCTTTACAGTCAAATTTGATCTTCAAAAATTTAATTGCAATCATTATTTTTTGTCTTCTTAATACCCTTTTAATTATTGCTCTCTCTCCTTAATAATGTTTTTCTTTTTCTCATACTCTTTTGCATTCAGTAACTCCCTGCATCTTAGTGGCTTTATTGCTTTGCTTGGGGTGAAATGATTAAAAAAAATATATACTAGATCAGGTAAAATATAGGAGTATCACATGTCCACAAATTGCTTTGTCCCCATAGCCAATGATGGAAAGATGTCAGGGCAGTTGTTGATCCTCTTCTTTTCAATGTTAATCATACCAGGTATCTTTCATTTGTGCTGTGTCTAAAACAGAAACGAGACTAACTTGATTTCAAGCCAGATTAGGATTAACAAAAATTTACTCACCGATTACCTAATAAGATCCCAGGGTAGACTTCATCATATTGTCCTGGGATGGAATTAAATGTAAATAACCATCCATTTCTGTTGACATTGTTTGAGCTAAGGATTTCTTGTAGTTTTTTGTAAGTCTCTGTGTTATACGACATATCCCCAGCCTTTATGATCGTATTACCTGAAACGAGAAGAGAGAAATACAAATACTGAATACTTCATTTGCTCATTGTTTATTACAGGGTTATTTTATTTATGATAAAAATCTACCACCTGGCTCAGGTAGTTGATGTGGAAGTCCAAGTAAAACGGTTACAATTTTGAATACTGAGACACTTACTGCAACACAATCTCACTAGTCCTATCTTTGTCTACTATGTGCCATGACCCTTCAGGACATAGATGATCATGGATACTATTTACATTGTTCGGACTATCAACCTCATCTTTGTTGCCATATTTATCACAACGTTTCGGCTGTTGTACGCTCCGGCTTTCTTCAGGTGGTTGGAATGTCAAACTGAACCTTTATTTCGCTCACTGGGGTAGACTGTTCTAGTTCCATGTGCCATGTCTAATGGATTTCAGTTATCAGTTATCTCCTGTTAATTCCCATCTCCAAGTTCTCCACCACCTTAACCAGGTATTGAACTCACACTCTTTGGGTCCTGTCACTGGATCTAACTAACATGCACTGTGCCATGTGTCCTTGAGGACATATGGCACAGTACAACGGCTGAAATGTTGTGATAAATATGGCAACAAAGATGAGGATGATAGTCCGAACAATGTAAATAGTGTACATAATACCTCATCTCAGAAATATTGACAGATAATGATCATGGATGTCTATATTTTTCTATATTGTGTGGCTCTTAGCAGTTTTTCTCCTTTTGCTAAGGTTCCTGCCCTCTACTTGGCATATATGTATATCTATATACATGGGAAAATCATATATAAATTTTTATATATCAAGAACAATTTTAGAAAAACTATATAATAATTATCAATGTGTATTTATATATTTCCTGTGTATTTTTATATTTCCTGTCCCATCTTTAGTGGGAAGGGAGGTAAATCAATTTAAGTTAGTAAATTTATGAGTGATTATTTCCCTTATTCATTTAATAATCTATACAAATAAAATATTTATCTGCATTTAGACAAAATTAGTTCTTGATCAAAATGAGCCATTTAATAAGTTCTTTTACTTCTATATTTCTTAGATTGTAGTCTTATTTGTTCAAGCCTTTTATGTGAAGCACTCTGATACCTTGTCTATTAAGTGAACGTTTTGCTCCAACTTGGTCTTGAAGATAGGCTTTGTCATCACCATCCGTATTGTTTTATTGCTAATCTTTATCTTCTGTGAGATATTTCCATTTCACTGTTATATTAAAAGCATAAAATTTTTAGCATGAAATGATAATGAGAAAAAGTGATTTATATAATACCATTGAACGTCTAAAAAATATAAAGGGAACAGATTAATTAATTTTTCTATTATAGTTGTGAATTCTATATCTCTGCTTTATTGAATCTCAACACTTTTGTTTCATTGCGTCTCACTATTAAAACTTTCCAAAAATTGCCATCATTTTTTAGCACATAGGTTTACAAGCATATATATATATATATATATATATATGAAGTATCAACTATAATAACGTTTATAGTAATAAAATTGTTGGTTTAAAAATAAATCTATTAATTCTTTAGAAATTATATATATATATATATATATATATATATTTCTAAAGAATTAATGGATTTATAGCTCGATCATTATTTGCATGATAAATGTTCTGATGAGCTCTGTTCTTTATTTCCACCAGTTCAGACCTTTACCGCTAGGACACATCATGCTACTTCCACGGAATTGAAACACCCTCATCTCCTCTGTATTCCAAATGTAAAGAGAAATTTTCAGTCGTCAGTTTTTGGAAAGTGCCACTTTGTGGAACACTCCTACATTAATGCTTCCCTAAACACTTCAGTCTTGGATCAATCATCTTCTCCCCAGCTTATTCTCATAATTATCCCCTACCACTTCTATCCCTATCACACACATCATTCAGCATTACTATTTTGATTAACCCTCTTCGAGTGGCTCTTGAGCTTTGTATTGGGGAAAATTTACTATATAAAAAAATTTGTCTAATAAAATATTTCAGCATATGCAAATCTCTGAAAGAAATTATTGCATAGTGCTGCAGAGCAAAAGAATGGTACTCACTGCAAGTTATAGATTACTTTACTAAAGAATTTAGAAGAAAAATGCAGCTGTAAACTTTGACAAAAGCTGTCAGCTTATCTGAAAACCATCATTTATTCCATGAGCACATTTTGTGCCGCTGTGGTCTTAAAATCAAGAAGGATTAAAAATAAGAATGAAAGTTGGGGATTAAGTAAGATGTAATAAATATTGCGGCTAAAAGAAAATTAAAACACGTTATATAGATGAGTAACAAAAAAGCAAGAGAGGTTTACTATGGACATCTGACTGCTTCCACATGCAAATTTGAATGTTTAGGTGGTTTAACAGATAATGGCTCAGAGTAAGAAATTGGAGAGCAAAGAATGAATTCCAGTCAGGTACATTATATTCACTTATATGCAAATGCCTTTGGGAAAGGTATGGGCCAAAATGTCTATAGGAACTTGCCACATTTCATATTTTTTCTTGTTAAAGTTACAAGCTTTCAAATCCTTTTATTCACTATCAAGAAACAATGAAAGTAAATGAATTTCAAAATTTGTTTAGTGATTGTCTCTTTGACATTGTAGGGATACAATTATCTCCCTTTAGTGAAGATGAAGTCCCATGGACTATGTGATCTCCGCTTAATGATGTCACTGCATAGTGACAAAAATGGCAGTCAGTCAGTTTCCAGGAGTCAAACTGAACTGTTGCTTTTTTGGCCTGGCCTTAGGCTAAATCTCCCTACCCCAGCTTAAAGTCCTCATGTTAGGAAAAACCCAAGACTTGCCATTTACCTGTTTGTGGAATATGTCTTTGCCAGAGTCATAGCAGATAAGTCCGTCCCACTCAAATCTGGAATCCTAAATATGGCTTCTCCAGAAATAAAAAAGTATTGCCAGAAACACAGAGGAATCTCCTTATTATATATAAGACACTATCTTTTCATTCTCTTTTCAAACTGCTTGTTGTGCAGATATGTGTTATATTTTCTCTGCATGGCACAAATGTAAATATATATCATTTTGTACATGATTTAGCAGCATAAAACTGTCTATGAGAATGAAGCATGTTTTTTATTCCTTTTCCTTTCAGCCATTCTGCTCCTAATGTTGAAAACACAAATGGGGGAATAAACCTTTCTTCCATAGCACACCCATTACCTGGGTCAACATGATGTGACATAATATTCTTTACCTCCATTGATATGATTTTCGGTTTTTATTATGAATATTTATGATGTCTGGTAAACATTACTAAGAATTCTGAGATTTTAAGTACATTTTAAGATTCCTATTCCAAAATTATATGTGACTTTCTTGATTATTGGTTGTTTTAACTTAATATCAGTAGCTTCTATAATCTATAATCTTTTTCTTTTTACAGTTTGATTTACTTTGCATTAGTGTGTTGTTGACATAGATCAATCTTACTGTAATTTTTATATCATGTCATATTGCACTTTGAATAGACATATAAGTGAGTCTGCAAGAAATGGTTGTGGTTTTATACCTAACATAAGATTTTTTTATACAGATATATAATCTGTATAAAATCAATTGATTTTGTAAACAATGTTAGTCTTTTTATATGATATGATTAACATGAATCTATTATTGCGGCTAAAAGAAAATTAAAACACGTTATATAGATGAGTAACAAAAAAGCAAGAGAGATTTACTATGGACATCTGACTGCTTCCACATGCAAATTTGAATGTTTAGGTGGTTTAACAGGATTCCAGATTTGAGTGGGACGGACTTATCTGCTATGACTCCGGCAAAGACATATTCCACAAACTGGTGCAGGCAAAATATAGAAATATATATATATATATATATATATATATATATATATATATATAATTTCTAAAGAATTAATAGTTTTAATTAGTGACAATAAACTTAAGAGTTTTACACTTTTTACAATAGATAACTAATCATAGATTCTAACTGTAGACTTTAGGTATCTGTGAATTACAAGTTTTATAACTATTTCATCTTAGTTATACTTTCAGCACATTTGATTACAATGGAAGAAATTGATAGTATTGTTTTTCTGAGTATGTTAAACTCTTCTGTATATGTTATGAATGTTCCCTTAAATAAATGACTGTCATAAAATAACAACAATATTATGTAGTTTTACAATTTTATTGTAAAATTGATCTATAAAATATTATCAAAACCTTTTCTTGCTTTTTCATGTTTTTGATAAATATTTCCTGAATATTAAAAAAAATAACATTCCATTCCCCATTGAATAACGAGTAGTTTTATTTATCATATTTATCACATTTATAACAAAGTTCTAATTCACAAAGTAGGGGTGACAGTGGACAACCCTGACGAACCGACCGAGACAGCACAAAATTGCCCGACAGCTTCCCATTCACCTGTACCACAGCACTGGGGGAGCAATACAGCAGGCTAATCCAGCGTCAGAAGCCAGGTTTGAATCCAGCGGCCTACAGGACAGCAGCAAGGTAGCAATAGTCAACCCTATCAAATGACTTGGACTGATCTAAATTGATCAACACGGCCTCTTCATGGCCTTTTTTACCCTCTATGATCATGCGGATCAGATGCAGGTTGCTCTGAATTGTTTGGCCCTTCGTAGTGCAAGTCTGCTCCAGACCAAACAGAAACTCAGCAATTGATTGCAAATGCTCCTGCAGGATTTTGGCCAAAATCTTTAACTCTGTTTAGCAGAGTTATGGGCGTATAGTCATCTAAATCCTGCATAACACCCTTGCCCTTCTTCAACAGTGTGATCACACCCCTGGTGAACTGGTCACTATGTCATCAGAAGAGTTCACTACATAAAATTGGGTCACTATGTCATCAGAAGAGTTCACTACATAAAATTGGGTCACTACGTCATCAGAAGATTCTGTTGCGTAGTGATGAGCTTAGTTTATTTTTTCTTATTTCAAAGGATTTAGAAATGGGGATTGAATTTTTTAAGGCAGATTTTGTTCA